GTATTTTTCTCTGTCTAGAACCCCATACCCCTATAATAATAAACATAGGGATTAAAACACTTTCAAAGAACACATAAAAAAGTAGAAGATCTAGCATGCAAAACACAGCAATCATGAAAGCTTCCAGAACTAAAAAAGCTATCATGTACTCTTTCTTGTAATTTTGAATACTAGATCAATTTTTTTTTTTTGCGACAAAATTATTGAAATAAAGAAACAACGGTGGGGTGAGGAGAGGGGGTAGAAGGGAGGAGGGAAGTTGCTCCAGGATTGTACTGAACACTGAACAGTGAATTCTTCTTTTGCCGTTTCTTTTGCCGTTTCTTTTGCCGTTTTGTATTTTGTATGCTGTTTTGCGTTTTGTTTGTTGAAGATTTTCTAGAGTGAACATTATGTGAATCTGTTTTTTTTTTTTTTTTTTTTTTAATGTGAAATGTTCTGCTATATCGGCCTACTACCAGAATCGAGTTGTGTTTCTGTGGGGATGTGACCCAGTTGCTGCTTGCATTTGCATGTGTGGTCGTCTGTCCAGGTGGCTCTATACATGGATAAATTCACAGGGATGTGCCAGCATGTGATTCATGAATGCAAGCTGACATTCCTGCGAATTGTTTGCGACCATGACCTCTATATTGAGATGCCAGGGAGAGCACCCATAGAGAAGTGAGTGAGCCATATTTGCCTCTTGCCAGTGATTTCTTTTTTTTTGTGCGTCTGTTAGCAAATCCTCAGAACGTATCTGTTGCAAAGTAAGGGCCAGGAGAGTAGGGCTTCAAATTGCTCGACACGAGATTGATCACATTTCTTTGTTCGTTTTCTGTTCACTTTTCTTCTTCGCTGTTCGTTCGGGGACCTTTTTTTGGTGTCATTGCTGTGCCTGATCGAAACAATAGACGGTTCATCCTTCTGTCGCAAACAGCATAGGACTTGTCCAGGCGAAGGACAAAGAGGTGCTTCGCGTACATGCAAAGTCTGCTTTGTGCTTTTGCTACGAACATGATTTGTTAATCTCAATATCGGTAGATTCTGTACTTCAGAAACCATTTCAGCATTCCGGTCCTGTTGTTCTCCCACACTGCCGCTATCATCACTACAATCATAATGGTTCCTCCTTTTTTTTTTTTTTTTTTTTAATAACAAAAACAGGGCCTTATTGTCCTGGCTCCTTTCCATTCTGGGGAGCATCAGTCCGGTTCCTATTCCACCGGCAAGTCAGAATAGACATTACAATAAGACCCACCCACGCTTCCTTCCGTCTGGCCCAATCATAACGGTTCCTGCCTTGGATCATCTTTCAAAATCAGCTTTCTGGTTCCATTACTGTGGAGTGCAACACTGTGGAAGATGCAATGCAATGCTCATGGTTGTGCGTGCAGTGTCATAAACATGCAATCGTGCCCACTGGTGTTGAGCATCCCATGTTGACCACCCACAGAGGCCATTTACATGACAATGATGACATCTAAAATTGGACATTTGAGTTTTGAAGTTCTATTAGGTTCAGTTGAGACTCCTTGGAGCATATGGACCCCCATGCCAGTGTGTGTTTCTTTCAGTGCAATTCGGAAACGGCCACATGTTGGAGCGTATGCGCTGTTGTTGTTCTCCTTGGCTGTCTTCTTTCCTTCAAATCAGTCAAGAACCACATCAGAATGGCTGGAAGACTTCAGTCCCAAAGAAACCATCCCTATGGGTGTAAAGTTGTAAACACTGTAAAGTGGGACGGGAAAAAAATTGGAGTTCAGCAGTAGACCGACCAGGGTATACCAGCCCTCGACTATCGTAGCGAAATCTAAGGGAGGGTGCACCTAACTCCCTTTGGCACGTGGAATATATGAATAGAAAGGTCCAAGAGAGAGAGAGAGAGAGAGAGAGAGAGAGAGAGAGAGAGAGAGAGAGAGAGAGAGAGCTTTTTTTTTTCTGGGTCAGGAGCTGTTTGTCCCCCTGCTTGATGCTTTGTGGTTCTCCTTTTCCAAACACATTCGCTTTTTCTTTATTTTTTTTTGGTCGAGGCCACAACAGGTCATCTTGTTTCCCTGAAAGCCTTTCTCGTGCAGTCCTCTAGTTGGGTCCAGACAGCTTAAACTACTGCAAGCCTGAAGGCTTTCAACCGAACCAACATTTTATGTCCGGCCGCGTTTTATTCGACCAGTTTTGTCTGGGGAAGTAGTGGTTTGCATGCTCACCTCATATTCAAAAGTCACCTCGATATCACTCGCGCTCATCAACCATGTTCTAGACCATCTGTATGGAGTTGTTGGAATTGCATCAACCAGCTATGCATGGACTTGTTGGAAATGAGCAAGCCGAAGAATGAGAACGAGGTGGATGTTAAGAAGACACAGGGCGAGGGTGAGGAAGATGATACACAGGAGTCACAGACCAAACGAAACTCGTAGCAAGGGTGTAATAGATGAAGTCCTAGGTGTAAACCACCATCACCTCTGGGCCTCTTTTTGCCGAGGCGATTTCGCCCTGTGCGGCAGAGAAAGACATGGACCGCCACGGCAGCAATTTCGTTTTCCGCCTGTAAAAAGAAACATACAAACTGCCACGGCGGCATTTTGTTTTGTTTGTTTGTTTGTTGTTGTTGTTGTTGTTGTTGTTTCGCTGGGGGCGCCAGCCATTTCAGTCCAGTAGAGCTGTCCATCCAAAGTCTTCGGAATTTTCTATTCTCGACTTCGCTTGGGAAAGGTAGTGCTGGTTCAAAATAAGCAAACCAGCAACGCGGTAAGGTATGCTATGCCATTGATGCAATTGCACAATACGTAGCTGATGGTCAGGCAGGTCTTTGTTCTCAGCCGTGATTTCAATTCATTTTAACGCTCTCGACCCATTCTCCTCCCCTTCTTTGGTTCTAGTTTGCCTTTTGCTTTGTTACGTGTCTGAGCTTGGTGGCAATGTCCCTGGTTGTGTAGGAACTACTTGACGATAACCCTGCTTCAAGAAGTTATTCTCTCTCTCGATCACGAGGATATGTCCCAAAGAACCAGAGTAAGTAATCGGTTCTGGCAGAATGCTTTGTGCATGCTTTGTTTCTTTCGTCTCAAAAGGGCGACGGCCTTG